TGAGGGTCAGCTGAGGCAGTCTGAGGCAGTCTGAGGGACGGCTGAGGCAGTCTGAGGGACAGCTGAGGCAGGCTGACGCAGTCTGCAGGGACGGGCCTAACCCTCCTCCCTGCGTCACCCTCCCCTTGTTCTTTGCCGTGTAACTTTGCAGTTTGTCCCACTGTCACAGAGTGGAGCTCCCCGTCCCTGCCAGCTTAGTGCTGAGAGCTGCTTTGAACACTGGGTGTTAAAAGATATGGAAAGAGGCCCTCCCGTGGTGGCGCGACGGCTTAGGATGCAGCGCTACAAGCTGGCCGCAGACACTTCAGTGTGAGTTGAATCCCCAGGCTCTGGAGGTGACCCACATGACGCAGTAGACCTCTCCTGACCCGCCTGCTGCTCCCCTCAGCAGTGTACTTTGTCAGTCGGCCTATTCTGCTCCCCACTCTGACTCTGGTGAATCCTCTCACTGCACCTCTGGCTTATACCCCAGTTCTGTATTCATAAATAAATAAATCTTTAAAAAAAAAAAACAAAAAAAGGAATAGCTAAAAGCTTCCCAAATTTGATGAAAAACATATAAAAAAATTTAAAGATAAGGGAAGAGCCTTGAAGAGCTCACATCTTGGGTTTGCTTGCTCCTGTGACTCTGCCGTCATTGTGGGAAGGCTCTGGCCTCTTGGTCCCAGAGGAAGATGAGAGTCCGAGGACCCAGCTGCTCAGCCCCAGCCAGGGGGTTAGGAGATGTCTCCGTGCTGCATTTTCACAGAGCTTCCTGACATGCAGCCACCCCCAGGTGCCAGCACCAGCAGGGACAGAGCTCCCTTCCCCGTGCCAGGATGAAGCATCAAGCTTTTCCGGTGGATCCTGGGTCTCCCAATCTCCTCTTCCCCCGAGGGAGCTGGAAGGAGAGGAGAATGTCCAATACGAGACCCAGCTCTTTAGGAGGCCAGGACACAGGTGGCCTTTTGCTCCCTTCCAGGGAGAAGGGCACCAACCCAGGAAGCAGGTGGTCTGGGTGCGTCTGCAGCCTGGCAGCTCCAGGGCTGCCACAGCCGGCTGCCTCCTCCCCTTGGTGCCCTCTGATAAGAGGGGGCAGAGGTGATTGTCCAGCTGAGAGAGACATCCAACAACGGGAAAAGAGGGAGCGATTCCTTTGGGAGGTTAGCCAAGCGCGCCTGGAGAGGAAGCAGGGGACTACAGTCACCAGCGGCCCATGCTGGGCAGCAAGAGACACGGCGCCAGAGTGAGCTGCATCCCCCCATCTGCTCCAGTAAGGACCCAGCACCAACTTGAGAATCTCCATCTCCAAAAACCCATTTCTCCCCTCCAGAGACATCTTAAAAGCTTTATTCTTTCACTTTGTTGCATTTTAAAGAATGTTCTCTAACCTTTGAGTGATGAAAAAGAAGACTCCACCATCTTGTTTCCTCCTATTTTTATTGGCAACACCAGCATTTCTGCTGCACTGGGGTCAAGTGGGCTTTGATGAGCTTTTCTGGAAACAAGTCACCGATTACACTGTTTCTATGAAAAAATGTGCCGCGACTTCTAAGCAACGTGGTACAGTGGCCCAGCACCAGGTGGGGCCTCACCATGTTCCCACAGCTCTTTCTAGGCCAATCACATTTTCATAAGACTCAGAGAATCCCAAGCTTTCCTAAGCACCTTTCACTCTAATATGAAGCATCATTTACTTAAGCTGAAAAAAAAGGGTTGAAAACTTTTTCTACGCATTTCTTTCCCATGGATCAATGTACTCCAATCCCAGGTGCGCAAAAATTTCTTCTTCACTTTCTGCTTGGAGAAATATCCTCTGAAAGCAGAATAAGAAATAGGTGCATTCAGGTAATTTAGTTCGGCTTCTCGGGGCTAGTCAGAGTGAATCCTCGCAACAGCATCAATCACTCCTGCTGGCTCTCCTTTCCCTCAGTCTTGGGTTAGCATCCTGACCACTGTAAGCGTAGTCCACGTTGGCATTTGTGGACTTAACGGTTGAATATCTAACTTGTTACTATCCACACAATGATTTTTTTTTTAACTGAGGCGTGGATTTGGGTCCCGACCGCTGCAAGGTTAGCATGCCAGGAGCCAGAGCAGAGCCAACCTGGCCCACCACCCGCTCAGCAGCTCTCAGGGCAGCCTTCACTTGGGCTCCTCTCACTAACGCCTAACTGGCCCGCAGAGCCACAGCCACTGTGTCTGAGGGGCAGTGAGTAGCATTTGCAATTTTTCTTTTGCAGGGGGAGACAACCCTAGGTTTTCTTTGGGGTTACTCATTACAACCCCTAACTCAACGAATGACCACTGCTGGGATGGTTCTGGGCTCCGCTAGCGCATCCTCTTTGAGCCGGAAGCCAGCTCAGTACCCTTCCTGCTGCCCTCATCTGTGGGCTGAGGTGGCACTAATGTCAGTTCTGGAAAAGTGCTTGGAGTCAGCCCTGGGATGAGGACCAGGTAGCCCTCTCAGGGAGGCAACCCTACCTTGGTCCTGTCGTACAGCGCGTGGTTATCCAGCATCATCTTCCGTTCGTGCGTGGCAAAGCGCCGGAGGTCCCTCTCGAATTGCTGGACAAGAAAGCATGAGGAGAAGGGGGATGTTTGCAGTATTGTGTTTAGAGATCCTTCGATCCCTGTAATGAAATCTTTTGTCCACTGTCCATTCTCAGAGTGACTTTCTTCCCCAGGAAAAGCTCAGTGATGACAGGCGCCGAGAACCTGGTTTGTTCTGCGGGTAAACCAAACTCATACGCCCTCCTCAGACAGCACCAGGCATGTGGAAGAGGTAGTGCAAATGTGTGTTGAATGAATAAATGGTTGTTGTGCGGTCTGTGTCTAGACTGGTACGTGGCCCAGAGGGCAGGCCAGCAACACATTCATTTAAATTGGGAATGTCACTGTTGTGAAATAGGATGAGGAAGCAGGAGACTTGGGTTCCTGTCTGGATCCTATCTTCGGTCTATGCCTCTCTCGACAAGTCACGAACGAGAGGGCAAAGGAAGTTCGTGGAAAACTCCCCTTCGCTCTCAACCCTCTACTATGAGATTCCGTAAAACGAATAGCCCGAGCCACCTGCCCCCAGAACAGCATCTTCTACGTTCAGGGTGCGCGCTGAGACAGCGGGAGGGAAAATCTGACGACTAAGATGGAAGGCAGGAAATCCTTGGAAAAGGAAGACAATGAATGAAGCTGTCTTGAGGGCAATATTCCTCAGAGAAGCACAAATCTAAAGTCTGTTTCCCTTGGAGTTAGTTAGGGAGAACGTGTGGGTTCACTGCGCCCTCTAGTGGTAAGGAGCTGCTTCTCATGGCGGGGCCGGTGGTGATGATGAGCTGAGGCGGGGAACTACCCTCCCTCTTCCAGATCTGGGTACACGAAAAGACAGACTTCTGTTTGTCTGGGTTGTGGAAGAATTGGGGTGAAACAGATTCTGGTACAGTAGCTATTGGCCTGAGAACGCATAGAGGCGTTCCTTAGTACAGGGCCTCCTCCTCCTGTTCTCTAGCACTTAGAGCCAGGACTGCTCACAAGGTGTGTGGGGGAGGTTGGAGAAGGCAGGGGAAGTGGGTGCAGTGAGAGGCTGCCCTTGGCTCCCCAGCTCTGTCAGGTGAAGATATATATATTCCTGGTTTCCTCTGCTAAAATCCCAGAAGCATTTTCCCCCTGGACCATTAGGAACAATAATGTATTTTTCACTTGGAGAGTAATAATATTTACTAAAAATTTGTTGAGCATCTGTTATGCGCCAGTTATGTTCTGGGTCCTGGGAATATCAGTGAGCAGAACCATGATGTCTGTCCTGGTGGGGCTTTGGGTGCAAGCCCAGGATGCAGAAAAGACACAACAGCAAGCGTAAATAAGTAAACGCATCATTGTGAAGGTCAGTGCTTCCTAAGGTGCCAGCCACCTGGACGAGGTGGCGCTTGAGCAAGGACTTGAAGCACTGAAGGAGTTAGCTCACTGGGTCAAGAGCACTCGGACAGAGGGGAGAGCTGGAACAGAGGTTCTAGGGCACAGGAAGCCTCGCCTCAGCCTGGGGAGGAAGCAGCAATGGGGGGAGATCTTGCAGAGCCTCTTGAACCCCTATAAAACCTTCAGCCTGTGCTCTCAGTTAAATGGGGAATCTCTGCAAAGTTTTGAGCAGAAGAGTAATCTGGTCTGACTTTTAACAAGCTCACATGGCTGGAGGAGGAAGGGCACATGGAGGGATCTGTTTGTACTGCTGTGTCCAGGCAAGTGTCTCCTAATGAGCATTCAGGGAGAGCTTGCCCTGTGCAGATACCAGACTGAGCCCCACCCCCAGAGCTCCTGATTCAGTATGTCTGGGGCGGAGTAGGCAATCTACCCCCAGAGCCCCTCTTTCCAGGTGAGGCTATGCTGCTGACCCAGGAACCAGACTTTGAAAGTAACGGTTCCAGATAAATCTGTCTCCCTTGACTGTGTACACGTGGGATGCCCGGATTAGGAGGCACCGCCTCCTCCCTGTCACTCAGCCCCAGCTGCCACCGCCTCTCGTGGGCCCAGGTAGACCCAGCCTCCTTCTAGAAAGCGAATGCCAGCGCCATGGATCGGGGCAGTCCTTACCCGGGAGCCGGTCCAGCCCAGCAGGGCGAAGGCTCGGCGCTCGTAGGGACACAAGACCAGGTCCACACGGATGGCCTTCCAATTCTTCCCTTCCTGCTGGCCAGGGCTGCTGCTGTCCACTCTCTGGTGGTGCAATTTTAAAATCAAGAAGCATTTTGGAAAATGGTCTAATGCATCCACCTTCCTGCTGGGCTGTTTGAGCTTGTCAAATGTCGACTCCACAAGATCATAGTATAAAAGTAATCCCTGAGATAAACAGAAAGAGTGTGATTTTCTACCAGGCTTTTCACGGGAGCCCTTACCAAAAGTTTGACAGCTCTGAGCAGAACATGTGTTTTGCTCCTGCGTGCTGAGCCCACCTGGCAACTCCAGGAGAGGAAGCAACAAGCGCCCTGGCCCCAGATGGCCCTCAGCTCCCCCACTGGGCACCAGCAGGCCTGTGGCTAGGCTGACCTCAGCAGCTGGGACTTCAAGCCACTGCCTCTGCTGGCCCCAGCTGGCCCATGACTTTCCTTCTTCCCGTCCCAACATAAAGCCCAGGTGGTCACTGACCGGCGCCGAGATCAAGGCACCAGTGACATCCTGAATCTGATTTACCCTCTCTTCGCCCGGCCCTACTCCTGGCTCACTGCGGCCCGTCCCCTCCCAGGCCTTACAGCCAGGCCTTTGCTGCCTGTGCTTGTCCAGTCGGAGGCACAGAAGCCCCTCTGGGTTGGATTCACTGCCAGCAAGATGCTTAGTCATCACACAGGCTCTAGGACCCCAGCTGGTAGCTGTCTGTGTGTCTTTTGTGCAGGAACTTGTACATCATTAGGCTCAGTTAGATGATCATCACACAATTAGGAGATAAACAGTATGTGAGATCCAGCCGTATCACTGTAATGCTGAGTGTCTGAAAATCTGCATTTAATCTTCCTTCTTACCTTCCTTTCCCATAAATTTATCACTTTAGGTAAAAGCTGTTGCTCTGTTTCCTCTGTGATTTCTGGGCTGGTAATTAAAAAATCTACATCGTGCCCAATCTTCTTACCCCTGATAGAGGAAAAAGTAGTATAATTATAAGTACAGTATGATAATAAATATAGTATGATAACAAATTAGATGATTGAGCCCCCAATTTTTAAAAATCACATTTGTTCCTGTGCCTGATTTTAAGTTTACAAAATGCTTGTGACTTTTTATAACATACTACCCCTTGATCACATAACGCCTAGAAATATAAATTAATGACACAAACGCAGGTCTCGATGTCCAACAATTGTGTGCTTTCATTCATTCCTGGCTCGGTCAATATTTCTTGAGAACCTATTTTGTGCCAGGCACCACACGCTGGCTCTCACGGAGCACGGGACTCTAACACCTTAGTGGGAGAGCACAGATGCAAACAAATTACTTGGTAGTTGTCAGGGACCACTGAGGTGGAGTGCCAGGCCCAGGGATGAGGAGGAGGGAGGCAGAGGAGGCTTCTTGGAGGAGGTGGCTTCTGAGCTGCATCTCAAAGGTTGAGGAGAAGTCAGCCAAGTAACAACTGAGGACAGTCAGTCCAAGCAGAAGGGTGTGACTGAGCAAAGTCACAGAAGCAGGGAACAGTTCTGCGTGCATTTGGGGTGACTGGAGTGAAGCGTGGGGAGCAGAAGAGGTTGCAGAGAGATGTCAGCACCAGATCACTAAAAGCCTCTCATGCCTTTTCCAGAAGCCTATGGGTCATGGGTAGCCACTGAAGGTGTTATAGCCGGAGAGGCCAGGGCAGCCCTTGAATTTACCTCCGGAACCCTCCTGTGATGGTGACGAAGGCATCAGGCAGAAATGCCCAGACGGCCTCTTTAACCAGCATGCTGACTGCCTCTGCTTCTTCCCAGGTAACACAGCTGACAAGATCTTCATAATACAGGAATCCTGAGGGCCATGGGCAGGACAGAGAGAGGGACACTACATGTGGATGACGTCCCTGAGTAAGGGATTCTGTGGTCCAGTGGAGCCACCTGGCATAGGGTATCAACACCAACTGGTCCCCAGACCCCAGTCACTGTGCTCTAGGCTGTGAATGCTCCCGGTAGCAATGGCTCTTTGCTTTCTGACTGCTAGGCTTACCATTTCCTGACTAAGGAAGAGGCAGTATTTCATGTCCTTCTAGAAACCAACCTGTTCAAATCTGACTTCCTCCTGGAGACCCAGCCCTCTTGATCAACAAACTGTGCTCTATTTAAAAAAAAACAGTGGGAAGGGTTTTGGGATGGGGAGATTCCAAGCTGGAAGGTGATTGATCAGTGAAAACACTGAAGCTGAAGCCAGAAGGAGCAGAGGTTGGCGAAGTCTGAGCTGAGTAGAAAACTGTCTCTGGCCTGTGACTTGTTGCTTTGTCTGACACTACAGATAAGCAGAGTTCCAACAGGGCTGTCATGATGAAGGGTCGTGCCCGACGGTGGAGAGAGGCATGGAGGTGCCTCCACCCCAGGCTGCATGATGAAAGGGCTATCTGCATGGGTTAGCCCTCTCCTAAGGTCCAGGGTTCCCTCCTCTTAGAGAGAAGGTAACTAAGGCTCCAAGATTGAATAAATGTGCTTAATATCACCCAGTTGGACCATGTTGGAGCCAGGATTTGGATCCAGATCTGTCTGATTGTATTTTGTATTTTTAAACCATAGCACGAAAAGAGGCCAAGTAAGTGACCCAGCCCACGGGTGGAACTGAAGAACCTGTGGCAACAGGAAAGATTTCTAGGAGAGACGATTTACCTGCTTTCTGCATTCTTGTGAATTTCAGGGTTTCGTCTGACCTTATTTTACTTAGAGTTCTGAAACCCATCCGGAACCATTTCTCAGATGTCTTCAGCCCCACTCCAAATACAGATGTAAATAGCTGATGTGGAGGGAAAGGCTTGCTGTTACTTTCCAAAGCAATCATTCTAACATTGAACTGATATGAACCGAAGTAAAACATTAAGAAAAACTATAAGCAAATCTCTCACCAGTTTTCCTAAACATGACAAACAAGTAGGTGATGATCTGGTAGGTACATTTTTGTTTCAGCAGGACCCTTCCCTTTCTGAACTTGGCATTGCTAAGTGAGACCAGAGGCAGGTCCTGGGACCTGCCAGGGCTCACGGGTCACCAGAGGGTGGGAATCCCTGAGCCAGTCGTCCCAGTGGGGCACACCTTTGCCCAGGGTCTCTTACACACGCTCAGGCTCTGCAGACTTCCTCTCAAAGCGTGACGAGCGCACACTGCTGTTATCATCCCCACCACCACCCCCCACTCCTCGTAGCTTGTAAGTGGCAGAGCACAGACGCAAACCCTCTCTGGCTGCACCTGAGTCTGTCCTGCCCAGGCCCACCTTTCAAGGTGTGCATCCTTCTCAGTGCAAGGGGGTGGCAGAAGTCTTTGCTGCATGAAGCTCAAGGCAGGAAAATTGGAAGGTGGCAGGCCCTGATTTAAAGTGGACAGGATGCTGGGAAGAACTTTCCAGTGCTGCTTTGCTCTTAGAGCAGGTCTAGTTTTGCCCCATGCTCCTAGTGTCACCATGATAACGGTATCCCTGATGATGGACTTCTGGAAGGCAAGATCATTTGTACCTCACCCAGAGTGGGCAAGAACCTCAGGCACTCAAAACTATCTAGGCACCTACTTGCTACAGCACTGCTGTGGATTGAATTATCTCCCTCAATTAATATTTTGAAGCTCTAACCTCCCCTAATATGCTAGTATTTGGAGGTGGGGTCTTTGGGAGACAATAAGATTTAGATGAGGTCATGAGGGTGGGATTAATGCCCTTCTAAGAAGAGCCATCAGAGGGTTTTCTCAGGTCACTCTGCCGCCAGGAGAAGGTGACCATCTTAACCAGATCCTGCCCAAGCTGGCACTCCCAGCCTCCAGTGCTTGGAGAAAACAAGAATTGGTATTCAGGTCATCTGGTTGATAGCATTTGTTATGGCAGCCAGGCTTAGTGATGCCACCACCTGGAATAAATAATAGGTTTAACTGAAAAATATTTTCAATGAATATATATAAAATCACTTACTTTGAAGGACTGATAACGCTCATCATTTAACACAGCTTTAACTTCAGAACTTTCTCCATCTTCAAGAATTTCCTGTATGCACAGTTGAAAATACTTCAAATTAGTGATGTTGAACTCACATTCACAGATGTAGGAGATTTGCATTGCTCATGAAACATCTACCTGTCGTGTGTAGGATGTTTCCCTAGCTGACCCACAGTAAACAAGACATTCCCCTGTAATTCTGAAAATTCAAGGTATATATGCAAGTATTACTAAAAATTCTCAGAGACAAAGGTAAAGAATGATTAGAGTCAAAATCTATAGAACACCAAATTAGAACATTCATTGACAATATTCTTATGTCTACATATGTGATTTTTTTCCCAATGGATATAAACTTGCTGAAACAAGAGGACTTTTCACCCAATCACATTGATTTCAGACCCATTGAAAAGCAATCCAACTTCAACCCCTGGGATGTGTAACTCAGAGACACCCACCTCTAAAGAGTCGGTGAATCTTTGATCTTGCCCTAGACTGTATTGGATGACCAGTTTCCTTAAACATGAAAATAATTCAATCATCACATAAACACCCACCCCTCACTCTCTCCCTTGAAGGACACCTGGGTGGAGAGGCAGAATCAACTCCACAGCAGGCCAGGCCACCTATGGCTCTGAGGGACCCCCAAGGCTGTGTGTGAAGTCAGACCCTCCCCTGTGGAGGGACTTTGGGCCACTTGAGTCTTTTCACTGTGATGAGTAGTAACATGAGAGCGTTCTCTCTACTCAGCCCATGTAACTCCAGCTGGTAACACTGGGGTATGGACATATGCCAAGATCTATCTAGATCTTTATCTGTATTTCATCTATTGAGAGAGAAAGGAAAATAAGTCATGACTATCACATCGACATAGTTGATAGGAAAATTCATTATCTGCCTTTCTGTTTTCCTCTGTCCCAACTTTCCTCCTGTTCCTTGCCCTTTCTCCTTCCTTCTCTTCCCTCTCTCCCCCTTCCTATTAGGATGTGGCAACTCACACTTGACCCTTACCTCTATGACACACTTCACTTTGTCCTCAAGGCAGGGGATCCCTTCTGTGTCCCTCATACTGAGGATTGGGAAAGGCAGAGCTTTCAGCACAGAAGCCGCTCTCAAAAATGCCACACAGGAGACTTCATTTTCTCTAAATTCATAATTTTCAGCCAGCACCTCAAAGGCATCCTGAAGAACAAAACCAGATGAGCACAAATAACCTGTTTTCTGGCCCCTGAGCAGCGGCCACTCGCAAACATATCTTGCTTTCCCGGGAGCACTGGCAGCTTCCTTGAGGGGCAGGAATGGGTCTCCTGTACCTTTGCTCCCTTGTTGGATGAATGATACTGAATTGAAAGTATAACAACACTTTACATTTGCTGCTGTTAGATAGTCAGCAATTTGCTGAAAATGACCTCGTGCATGATGCCAGTCATCATTCAGGGCATCCTCCCCTCTCTGCTCGCCATCCTCCTACCAGCCTGCAGCTGGGACTCTGTCCTGATCCCTGGCCATCCTCACCTCTTAGTCTGTGCATAAAACATGGACAGCACTTAACATGGGCCTGTGGAATCCCTGGGTGAAATCAGAGTTGGCACAGACCCAAGGCTGGGTTATTTCAGGGAGGGCACGTTTGCATTTCCCACAGAGGAGGAAGTAAGTGCAGCTGCGTGGCATCAGGCTTCCCGTGCCCAGAAGCCACCATTTCCTGGTCTTCCTTGCATGCAAGGGGCTGGAACTCTAGAAATGGGAAGTGTGTATTTGACCTGCACCTGCATGCTTCAGCCACCTGACACTGATTCGAGCCTAGAGGACAGTCCCGTGGGCTTCCTGGGGTCATTGGAATCACTGAGCTTCAGGGCCACATGGAGCCCTAGAGATAAGCAAGCTCAGTTCTTTTTGAGCAAAAAGGGAGAAAGCTGAAGCTTAGAGAGAGTTACTGCCTTGTGCAAGCTAGCTAATGTCAGCAGGGTTAGAATCTGGATCTGCTCACTCAATCTCCTGGTTTCCCAGTGGAGACTTTATGTCTATATTTGCTCTTACTGTATTTTGGACTATTAACAATATTTGGTTTTTCAGAGTATTTGCCTTTGACTAGCATTGTGTCCACTGATGATAATTCTTAATAGTCCATCTGTTTTCTCTGTAGAGTGTGGTCCAGATGTATTTGTCCATTTTCACAGCAGGAGAAAAATCACAGATAAGGGTTGGGTAGGGTGAGTGTGAGGAACCTTTCCCAGATTTCCAGGAAAAGTTACAATGTAATTTGTGGGTCTGTGGGAAGAAAGCACAACTCCTCCCTTTGCTCTGGATGCTGAAGTAAAAGCCCATTTACCGTGAACACGCGATTACAATTGTTTAATGTAGTTCTTCTCTGACACGCATACTGAGAGAGCTTTTCTACAGCAAGTGGTGGAGTCTTCTGGGGGCCGGGACTGGGGTCACTTGAATAGTCTTTTCTCACCTGAACAAATGCAGAAGCATCTATTTTAATAACAATTAATAGTAATAATAATAGATAGGAGAAAAACTTAGAAGGCAGTTGATAGCAATTAACTCTGAAAAAGTGTATAAGTTTAGAAGACTCAAATTTTATATTATATATATCTCCTGTATTTGAGTTTGCTGTAATTAACAAGTATTTTTTGCAATCAGGTAAAAGAAAACCCATGTAAAAGAACCACTGATTCAATGCCATTTTCCTTTTCCATGAACTTATGTACTCGTGGTCTGAATCCTCTTTTTGAAGTTTCTAGTTTCCAGTTTCTGAATGATTTGGCATTGAGTTTAATTTTTTTTCTTTTGAATAATCATATGAAGAAACAAAGGAACCCTCTACTTTTCTGGCTATGACAGTATGATGGCTTCAATATTGTGTAATATCTGTGGATAAATTTGTTCATAAGGGCCCTCCCTGGTGGCGCAGCGGGTTAAAGCACTGCACTAAGAAGCTTAAGCCACTTCCGCATGAGTTCGATCCCCGCCTGCCCCGGAGGTGACCACATGGCGTGGCAGACCTCTCCTGACCCGCCCGCTGCTCCCCTCAGCAGTGTGCTTCGTCGATCTGCCTGTTCTGCTCCCCACTCTGTCTCTGGTGAAGCCTCTCACCCTCCGCATCTCTGGCCTGTACCCCAGTTCTGTATGAATAAATAAAATAAATTTTTAAAAAAAAATTTGTTCATAAAAGTTGCTACTATTTACTCTGTGCCTACCAGAGACCAGGCTCTGTGGTAAGTGCTTTATCTGCAGGGTGTAAGTTCTAACCCTCATGACCATCTTTGCAGTAGGCACATCATAGAAGAGAAAACAGAAGCTCAGAAAAGTTGACTTGCCAAAGGTCACACAGAACAAGCAGAGAACCCGGGGTTTCCCCCAGGAGTGTGGATTCCATGGCTGATGTTCTTCGTTATCAAGCTCAGGGCTGTGAAAATGCAGCCATGACTCTTACCACCAGCTGGTGCTGTCCTGTCGTCTCCACTGGCTCGCCTGCTCGCATACACTCTATCAGCCAGGACACATCAAGGACTTCCAGCTGCGAACTGGTGCTCACGTTCTGGACCTGCAGCCACTCCAGAACGTCAGAACCAGAGTTGTTTTCTGCCACAATGTGGGTGACGCAATCACTGCCAATTACAAGACATAGTTACCAGCTAAATGGGCTTTCTACACCAGAAGCTCCCTCCTTCCTCCAGGTGTCCAGAGCGCTCCATCTGGTGCAAAAATACACACCAGACCTGACCACAGGCATGGAGAATCCAGGTCTCTTTGCCAGGGAATCCTCTCTATTTTAATTAGTGTGCAACAATGTGCTGTGTCACATGTTAGATATACAGGAAAAACTCAGGAAGCATAGCAGGATTGGGGTGTCATTGGAAAATCAAGGTCCAAGAAGACAAAAATGAAATTGTTCTGAAAGAACAACCAGTGGCCTGGGGGCCAGGGCATTCTTATTTGTAGAGGGTTTAACTAGTGCCTTTGACACTTGCTTGACTGTAACCTGCAGTTAGAAACACCTAAAATAGAAATAGATTAAAGACATAGGTGTGCTTGCACCATCTCACACCTGCTAATGGGTGGTGGAGAGCAGTCTTTGGGGGACTTTGCTTTATGTGAGCTTCAAAGTACAGCCTTGTGGAGGTGAGCAGGGATCTTTCCCAAATAGTGGCTGAGGGCTAATGACCATCAGCACTGTGCAGCTGCCTGCCACACGTCATCACAGATGGTGCTCACAGACTCCCCAAGGAAGCTACGATGGTCACACTTCACCAGGGAGGAGCCGGAAGGGCAGAGGGGTCACATGACCTCCCAAAGGCCACACGCTGGCAAATGATCTACATCCTGCTTGAGTCTTGTATGTCATTTCTAGTTTTAATAAATCTTTAAAGTCAGCCTCATATCACTAGAACCAATGACTCTCAAAGCCTTTTCAGTTCAAAGAGTCTATCAGTCTGGGAAATATCAAGAACAAACAGCATGTCCAGGCCTCTAAGAGAAACAGTAGAATGATTTTCTCTCTCTCTCTCTCTCTCTCTCTTTTTTCCTATTTCTCTTAGTGGATGTCTTCTTTCTCCATTTTTTATTTTTTGACTGACTCTTGCATTCTTTGGGCCATTATTATATGGCCCTTATATGGTGGTAGTGTGGTGGCAGTGGGTGTCATTGGGATAAGAAGGGAGGTTTCTGGAGCAGCAATATCTTCGGTGAAACAGGTGGTTAATGACATGACAAGATAGGAGGTATGAACAAGATCTGCAAGCGGTTTCAGAGGACAGTCCCTCAGTGCAGGCTGGAGAGGAGGGATGGATTGTGGAAGAGCTGAGATTTGTGTTTCATGCTGATGGGAGAATAGGAGCAGAATAGGGCCCCAAGAACAAATGTGAATGGCTTTGGTTAAAGTGAGGAGTCTCCGTTGGTAAGTCGCTGTATTTGAGGTGGAGTGGGTGAGGGTGATCACGTGAGAGAGGGTCTGAGACAGTTAGATCATATTTTCTGGGATTGTGGAACCAGTGAAGGATTTTCTGAACAGGCTATTGATGGTGCTATTGCATTATTTAAAAGACAAATCTGGTATACATAACAATTTGGAGGGGAGAGTGATGGGTTAGGGAGTTACATGAGGGGACAAAACAATAGACCAAGTGGGAGAGGAACCAGTCTGGTTCCTCTCACATAGGCAAGGAAGACAACAGAAACATGATGGACATCTGGGCCTATAAAAGGTGAAATGGGCCCTCCCTGGTGGCGCAGCGGGTTAAAGCACTGCACTGAGAATCTAAAGCCGCTTCCACATGAGTTCGATTCCCGCCTGCCCCGGAGGTGACCACATGGCGTGGCAGACCTCTCCTGACCCGCCCGCTGCTCCCCTC